AGAGTTGGCAGGCTGAAGTTGACCAAGTGTCCAAGCACAAACGGAGGTAAAATCCATCCAGGGGAGACAGCAGCTGTCTCTCATCCACATCTTGTTTAAATGAAACGATGGAGCCATCAGTGGCACGCAAACGCTGTTCTGAGAATTCACAAGCTGCCGTTGTGCCACAGCAAGAGGCCGAGGGTAGTGCCAACTCTGGATGAGGTGGCGGGTATTATTTTGAAGGATGCGTATGTCTTAGTGAAGCACTACATGCAATGGTCTTGGAATTCAAGCTCAAAAACAGTTCACAAAAAAATACATTTCTATCATATATATTCTCAAGGGGTCAATGTTTTGGCTGTTTATGACGCTACCGGAACAGAAAGCACCATAAAAGGGCTACAACTAATGATTATTTGAATAATTTAAGCATTTAAGATATAGTATAATTATAATATAATATAAAAAAATATTATTTACAAAATTGTTGTTGTATGAATGTATTGAATGTATCTATGTTGGCTATGTGCAATGATGTGCAAAAACGGGTCCTTTTCTATTATGCTTCGTCTGTTTGATGCGCATGCGTGTCACATTCACTGAAGTCAGAACATTGCTGTCAATATGAGCTTTTATTCAAAATGGAAATACTCACTTGACCTTGTAACATTTACAAATGTAAGCTATTCACTAGTGGTCGTTTTTCTCTTTGGCTGATGTGTTGGAAGCAGGATTTTTATTTTGACAGCTCTGAGAACGCCAGCGCCTGACCACACAGGTTCTCCATCTTCATTAGTCTCTGTTTAACACGTTATTAGATAGAACTTTTAAACAAAGTAAGTTGTATACGAAAAATTATTAATTTGTTTACTACTAGTAATACTATAATTAGTAATAGGCAAACACTATAATACTTTCTCATTTACTGTCATTTATAAACTAATTTAGGAATATCTAATAAACACAAACTTTAAACCCATGATTTCAATTTCTGCATATTCAGTTGCCCACTAGTCATATTCATGCCATTTTCACCGTGTGTTGTATGTAAAATTAGTTTCACCTTTGTCTTTATTTAAAAAAATATGATTCCCAGCACACACAAACTTAACAGATTACTGAGTGCACTGTTGGTAGCAGTGTTTACTTCCTCTTTATTCATATATTATTTGATAATTTCAAACAGATAAGGGCTGAGGCAAAGAGAGAAATCCGAGGGGACAGGCAGAGAATCCAGAAAACCAGGATACAAACACACTCAGTCATTCCCTGCGAAGTCTTGTATGTGTCTCACTGCATTTCTGAGCGTGTTTGTATCCTGTTTCACTCGTCTCCTGGTCTTCTTGATTCTCTGCCTGTCCCCTCGGATTTCTCTCTTTGCCTCAGCCCTTATCTGTTATTGTTTGGATTGTTTGTTTGTGTTATGACCCTTGCCTGGATTTGGATTACGATTGTGGATAACCCTTTAAATAAATACTGCATTTGGATCCTCAACCTTTGTGTCTCAGAGCAGTTCTTGATCATTTATAAGCCACATAAATCCTAATGAGCCTTTAATTGCCTATATATAACACACAGCCTAATCAGCGCTCAAGCGTGCGCATTAAGATTGCTGCAGCGCACCGGCAAAAGTAATGATTATGAATGTTTCGTGAAAAAACAGCAAGGAGACTGTCTGAACTTTTTAATGATGTATTAGCTTGATATAAGACCAAAAATGATGGAGTATTTTAAGTTAAAGGGTTAGTTCACCCAAAAATGAAAATTAAGTCATTAATTACTCACCCCCATGCTGTACCAACCCCGTAAGACCTTCGTTCGTCTTCGGAACACAAATGAAGATATTTATGATTAAATCTGAGAGGTTTATCACTGCTACATGGGCTCCCTAAGGGAACGAAACTTGACGGCCCAGAAAGTCATTAAAGAAAATGTTTAAATATTCCATGTCGCAACAGTGGCTCAACTATAAGTTTATCAGGTGACGAGAATACTTTTTGTGCGAAAAAACAAACAAAAATAACGACTTTATTCGACTATTCCTTTTCTTCCTTGTAGGCCTGAAACGAGACTTCAAGAGATTTCCACGACGCTTGCGCGAGAATTGCCATCTCCTTCAACTACTTCAGTTAAGTTCTCGCGCGTGCGCGTCGTGGAAATCTCTTGAAGTCTCGTTTCAGGCCTACAAGGAAGAAAAAGGAATAGTCGAATAAAGTCGTTATTTTTTTAGGGATGCACGATATAGGATTTTGGCCGATATTCGATATGCCGATATTTTCAGACTAATTTTGCCCGATGCCGATACCGATATATTTGTGTGTGTTTTTTAAGTGCAAAAAAAGCTTATTAAAGCTTCTATTAAAGTTCTCAGTCAAGAGCAGTGAGTGATTTCCTCTTTGTGTTTTGTTGTTTTATTAACATTAACGAGATAGTTCTCCCCAAAATTTAAATTGTCATCATTTACTCTCTCAAGTTTCTTTCTTCTGTTGAAATTATAAAAGTTATTTGGAAGAATGTGGCTAACCAAACAGTTGCTGTACTTCAGTGACTTCCATAGTAGATTTAAGCACAAGAAAGAAATGAATACAGGTTTGGAACAACATTACAGTGAGTAAATAATGACAGAATTTTTATTTCTGGGTGCAGTATCTCTTTAAGGACAAGCGGCAGCATATTATTACTGTCTCTTTAAGAACTGCACGCGACGCGTCTAATATACACGCATTTGACAAGCAGATTTTCTCTGTTTGCTTTCACTTTAGACATAACCAACTTTGTTTATGTAAACCGTGTGTGTATTTGACAGTATCAGCGCAATAAGACTCGAAAGATTAGTCCAGTATGCAGACTCTGTGACAGGCTTTTAGTTCCTGTGAGCGTCGTGTGTAACGCGCTCAGAAAAGTGGATGTTAGAACAGCGCATCAGCACGTGAATGATATGTTTACCTAGCAAGACTTTGACGCACATGCAAATAATGAACTTTTGTGAATTGCGGTGTCCCGTGACCGTGAGTGTAACTCTACCTCTGCGTTTACATGTGATGTGATGTGAATGTACGTCGCGTTGTACAGTATGTTGAGATGAAGGCGCCAGAATTGAACTGATAGAATGCACGATACTATGATTTTTCTTCAAAAGCAGATCGTGGAGACATTTTAATCGTCCACGATCAAAAACCGTGAGACGCACACCCCTAGTTGGAAGTTTAAGTTGCTGGCGCTCATGCTTCGTTCGCGTCACGTGCGCATAGGAAACACGCCACCCTATCGGCAAGGCTCATCGGCAGAAATATTCATATCGGCCGATGCCGATGATGGTCATTTTAAGCTTTTATCGGCCGATACCGATGTTGTCCCGATATCATCGTGCATCCCTATTATTTTTGTTTGTTTTTTCGCACAAAAAGTATTCTCGTCGCTTGATAAACTTATAGTTGAGCCACTGTTGCGACATGGAATATTTAAACATTTTCTTTATTGACTCTCTGGGCCGTCAAGTTTCGTTCCCTTAGGGAGCCCATGTAGCAGTGATAAACCTCTCAGATCTTCATTTGTGTTCCGAAGACGAACGAAGGTCTTACGGGGTTGGTACAGCATGGGGGTGAGTAATTCATGACTTAATTTTCATTTTTGGGTGAACTAACCCTTTAAATGCAAGTGATCGCGCCGGCGCCTCCATGTCATGCAGTAAACGTGTTATATGCTACTTCAGCTTCCACACTCCACATAAAAACTTGGATAGCAGCACACATTTATCTAGGTTAGAGCGAGCAGCCATGTAAAGTTGCTACTACTTACATAGGCGAATGTTTGGATTTCTTGCCCGACATACTGTAATTACCACAAGGACCCGCCGTTAAAAATCTGTCCCTCACGACTGCGTGACGACTGTTATTACATGGCTTCGCGTCAAGGTCCTGATCACCCTGTCGGGGTTTATTCTGCGATAACAACCGGTTGGTTGTTTATACCTTCATACACTCATATCTTTTTTTCATGCTAACCAAAAATGCAAACATCCATTGGTTGAACTTTTTCATTTCACTTGAGTGTATGGTACATGTTATGTATGTGCAAATTAAGATCAAGGTTACACAGCGGCTTAGTTATCTATTTAAGAAAAAAAAAAAAAAATCATAATACACTAATTGTAGGCCCAGTATCTCTGGTATAATCTCTCACTTAATGTGGTCGGTTAAGTGCTTGCTTTGCTCAAGCACTTAGTGGGGATTGTGGGAATTAAATTAATTTCCAGGTCACAGGTCACTTCTACCTGGGATTGAACTACCTTCAATGTAGCGGCTCCCCTTGGGTCAAGGTTTTGCTTGTTAGACGCTGCTGGTAGATGCCGGACATCAAATTCTCGATTGACAGCCATTCATTGATAGCGTTATATTCTGATTGAATAAATCTTTTTGAAAGCAACATTCAAATTGTTAATATTTCAGTATATTATAGTAAATATTTTACCAGTCTGATCTTTTTTTTTCTTCTTTTTTTCTTGGAGACACTTAAAGCGTGAAATTGTCATTATGTCATTGTCCCGCAGCTCCAGATTGATTAGTCACGTGGCATTCATCGCTGATGTCAGATGACATGAAATGTAAAATTTTAATTTTAATTTCGCTTTAAGCTTTAGTACCTGAAACCTATCAGCAGCGTCTAAAAGCCTATAAGTGCTCGGTTAGTTGTGGATAAATTAATGAACACTTCTCTTTCATACCTTTTAGGTGACCAGAAGTGGAGGAAGGTCTTTTTTTTAACTGTTCCATAATGATTTAAATTCATAGTAAAATCGTCATTGTTCATTCTGCATTCTTATTAAATGCTAATTCATTTATATAGGCTAAGTAGCTGTGACAATAAACCAATGCTAACAGCATTTACTTAACTCCATTTCTATTGACTCACATGAATCAATAGAAAGTTTTTGAATCATGAAAGTTTTTATTATTATAGAAGTCTGAACTTTAACCAGCGAATGCAAATGGATTAATAACTCTGTTTTTCTCCTGCAGCTCAGTCCTTCAAAGAGTTTTCCCAGCTGCTAAACACCATGGAAGAGGAGAGAAGGCGCCTGGTAAGTAATGAGTATGCATACTATAAATACCTTTATGGTTGAAACCTACTCTCCTGCGGGACTCAACGCAACTGAGTGCAGTGCGGGACAAGAATTGATGGGCAAGTGCGGGTGCTGGCGGTAAGACTGTCGTGTGTGCAGGTTGTGGAAGCATACAATGATTTGCTTAGCCTTCCACTGCCTGCTGCTGCTTTTGATTGCTTTTAGAGGGAAAAGCTACCCATAACTACAGGTCTAGGATCAGTTGTCTCTGTAATAATAGCATAACAGGCGAAACAGATTTGGCAATCGATCCAGTGCATATCTTTGTTTGTGCTCTGGAGAATGTCAAATGTTTCTATTCACAATGTGTTTTTGCAGCGTTGAGTTGACAAAGCCTGAGTTGACAAAGTTGATATACTAACAAAACCTGATTGGGTTTGTTTGGTTTTGTCAAATTGAAAACAATCCTGTAACCCAGAGTTTGTTCATAGCTAGCTTCATGGTACATGCCCCTGGTTTGAGTGAGATCCAGAAGAGACGGTATGGTTAATTTGACGTGTGTGATCACTTGTCACATCTCGCAAGTGACATCCGACGGATATCACTTACTATTCCAGTAATATGATGTACGTTTCTGGGAATTTGAACCCTTATACAGTAGTTTGACACCAAAGGTTCAAGGTCAAGCCCTAGGGCCTTATTGACTTTCTAAATGTTGAAACACTTCCTGCAATATGCAGCCTCATTTATTTATAAAGCCTTATAACATAACCAAAAAAGACGTGAGAATAATCCAAAAGACTTAATAGCTCACTAAAATGCGACCTTAATGATGTGTGTGGTTATCACACAGTTACCAGCTGCTCTTTTAAACCTTTAAATTTTTAACTACATGGCATGAATAATACATCAGGGATGCACACAGTCTGTAACTACATTGGGTTACAGACAAATACTAAATCAAGCCATCCGTTTTTTTTTTTATTAGTCATGATGTCATGATGCCACCTCTCATTTTACACATTATGCTGCCTCTTAGGATACCTAGTTTTGACAATTCTAATGGTGCATTCACATTAGTGACATTTCAGTGGAATTTTGCAGGCAAAAATGTCCATCGTCTACTGTCAGTAGTGTAGCGATGTATGAAGCACAGCTCACACAGAAGTCACTTTCAAACCAAGCAGATTCTTTTTGGTCAATGCAGTGAATATACTGAACCCAATCGAACCAGTTGTGAAATCTGCATCCAGAAATCTTTCGTCCTCATGCAAAATTCACAGTTGTGTGGATTCCTAATGAAATTACCTATTGAAATTTAATGAATTTCACCCACAAAAATTTGCAGGACAATGCTTATGTGACCCTTAAAATTGTCATGAAAAAGAAGTTGAGATCATATTCTTTCCCTGTTGTGATGTATATGGCTTCTTGAGCAAGAATGTAGAGTTGGAGCTGATTGTGTCCATTGGGAATTGATTGGATTGTTGGATCAGTGTCATTTGCTAATTTCTGCAGTGTCATGTGAGAGGTTGCTGGAGGGGAGGCAATATTGCCCAGCCCTCGCGCCAATGCAAACAATCCCAAAATTCATCAGGATGAAAAAAAGTCAAAAAGATAGCAGAGTCGTTTATAAATATACTTTCTTTCAGTGCCAGTATAAAGTCTGACATATAGCTTAGTCTAATTTAAATTGGGCTATTTGGAGCTAACTAGAATATTACATTATCAAACTCCATTGGAATCAAGTTGTGAGTCAAGTCTACCATATGCTTCATAGTCAAAAAAATATGACTTCTTATGTGAACAGTGTTCTAATTGGTCACTTATGAGGTTAGATATCAGTTCGGATGTTTTCTTGGAAGACTGCTGTCAGTGTCAACATGGGCAGTAGACAACATGGAGGCTAACTGTGTTTATGCATTTGTGTTTGTAAGTGATCCCAACAGGGAGCATTTATGTTTGGTTCCTTTAAAATGTTTGAAGTTACAGAAGATAAAGGAAGTGTGATAAAATGACTAATGGTTTGTTTTCGCGACCCATGTTGTTGTTTTTCCAGAAGAACTGCTCCTTAACGTCTTTGTTTCGAGTGAAGCACTAAAGGTTCATTCGTATACTGCGACCCCTGCTCTCTCACTCTGATCTCATACGGGGAAAAGCAAAGTCTGTTTCATTTCTGACAGTGAGTAATGGGCTGAATAGAATAAAAAAGGACCTTTAAAATATAAAATTCCTCTTAAATGCATAACTTATGGATTTATGGCTGGAATAAACTCATTTGTGTGGTCTCACACAGTCAGACACTTTAGTTTTATTGAGAACAAAACACTTTTGAGGCTAGCTGCCTCAGTGGATTTGATTTCATTTTCCTCTCCTTCATCTTAAACATCTAATCTCTTTTTTTTTAGCAGCCGTCATGCATAGTTTGCTGCAACGACACTCTTTGCAAGAAAGAAAGGAAGATTTAGACTGAGAAGAAGACCACAGAACAGATAAAAATCTCAAATGAGATATCTTTATTATCTTTCACCTAGACAGCAATGAGGTTGAATGGAGATCAAATGGAGGTTTAAATGTACAGTTACACAAAAGCATGGGAAATTATTTTGGACCTGGCAAAAACAAATATGGGCAACATGATACAGTATGGCATGCTTTAGGGGTCCTCTTTTTAATCAAAATAAATGATCACAAATAATAATATATTAAGTTTTGAAGTTTGTATTTTGTATTGAGCCAAGAGATTTAGGACAATATTTTCTAAAAGCTATAGACCTTATGCACCAGAGAAACGAGGGCGCCGCCATCTTTAGAATATTGTCTTTGAACTTCCGTTTTTGCGGTTGCTCTGTATATTTCTATGGCATCGCTGTCCAGGAGTAATTAGCTGGTGAAGTTGATTTACTTATTGTAGAGTTAACGAAAGTTATCATGAGCATTGTAATGTTTATGATAAGCATTGTAAAGCATATGTCTTAACAAATGGACCTTGGGAATTTTTTAAACGAGCCGTTCATTCATAACTACGCAAGATCGCTGTGAAAATACAGACCGGAAGTCAAAAGACAACGAGCTCAGCGCGGAAAAGGGGCGTGGCTACATAAGGTCTATAGCACCAGCGCAAACTCTCTTTTGCCGTTAAAGAACTACTGTCAGTCAGGATTTACTTAAGACACGCAGTGAAAAATTAGCGCTGAAAAGGCGTAGACACGGTTATTTTTGCGGCTGACCTTATTGCATATGCATTTGTAGGAGTTTCCCTTTCAGACGCAAAATTTATGGGAGGAGAGTATTTAAATTAATCATGAAAGGTGATTTACTAAGGTTTGCGCTAGTCAATTTACTGGTGTTTGTGCCATTATTTACCACCCAAAAATATCATGTCTTAAACCAGATGCTAATTTGCGCAGCTCTTGGTAGATTGCGTTGGTCATTATGTAAATGAGTCAGCTGCGTCTATGTTTTTTAATTTGCGCGACGTCAGTAGATCACATGCAGAACTGCGCTCTCACGCTTATTTGCCCTGTTTAGTAAATCTGCCCCTCAGATCTTCTGTTGGTCAAATGTCTTTTTTACTTGTTTCATTTTGTGCCAAATGGTGTTAAAAATAGACTATTTTCACTAATGTTTTGTTCTTGGCTCATTATAGAGTATTATTTGAGCAAAATACTTCCTTTGAATCATTTGTGGGTTAAGTGTCCTGTGTAAACTATTTGTGAGTTGCTGCCTTGAGCATTGCAAATCAGTCATTTATGAGGTTACATTTCAGTTAGGATTACGATGTTGAAGACAGCTGTACGTAGGCGGTAGACAGACAGGCTAGGTTTTGAAATGAAGCCATTATCTTTGTTTACGTTGTGTGGCTCGCTGCTCCTGTCCATTCTCCGTTTCAGCGATTGACTTTCCACACCGCTTAATCAGACATCCACTAATCCAGGGCCAGCTTTGGTTAATGAGAAACCACATGGAATGCAGCTGCAAGTCAATGAAACTTTCCACTTTATTTAGTTTATTCACATTCTTTTTTTCATGTTGTCTTCAGCTTAGTGTTTCGTCACTTTGGCCTGTAAGATTGCCTTTTTTAATAGGATATAATGGCTGGTGTGCACTTTTTCAGAAGTGTTCTTTGTGTGATTAAAGCACAACCTGTAAGAAAAAGAGATTTGAAGGGCTCTCGTTGCTCCGTCTAGCAACACCTTGTGTCATACATTTTTGAACAAAGGAATATAAGAAAGGGAGGAAGTAGATTTTCCAAATATTTTCAGTGGTGGAGTTGCTAGTGTATTCTTGATCTCCTGAGCCCAATCAGTCATGGAACGGAACGCTCCGCTGTCAGACTGAATCCGAGGCAGCCGTATATACATGCAAGTCAGTTCTCTTCAGTCGAGTGGGATTGAAGCCGGGCCCTTGTGATGCTGTTATACTGTCAATAATGCTGACCTATTGACATGTGCCAATGAGAGCAGAATTGTGATTATCTGTCCTCGTCTTTCATTAGTATTTCTGTCTTGTGGAGATCCGAATGCTTAGTGACATTTCCGATTTTAAGCATTCTGTCTGCAACTCACAAAATCACAACTGGACCGAACGTCTAAACCTCTGACATGCACAAAGACAGCTTTCCAAACACATAATCTTTATTATTTACATTGAATTTGGGACCAGAAAATCCCTAGAAACCACCTAGCAACACCTTAACAACAACACAGAGCAGCCTAGCAACCACTGTGCAGTGCTTTAGCAACCCCATAGAACACAGTTTTAGTTCAATTAACTATTATATTACAAATGTGACAAGATAAAGGTGTTATAGCGATCACTGAAAGTGAATCAAAAGAAGAAGAAAAAACATATTAGGAGTGTGTTACCTCACTTTTCGAACACACTTTGGGAGTTGATGCTTGAAACGGGCGGTGGAGGAGGTTTAGACGTTCCAGGCTTATAATAATAATAATAATGCAAATGAACAAACAAGCGATGGCACACAAGTATATTCAAGCAAAAGCATGTCTTAGTTC